CACACGCACCTACGTCGACGAGGTTCCCCCACCTGGGGCGAACATCGTCAGTGGCATGTGGATTTTCAGGGTGAAGCGGCCACCTGGTTCTCCTCCGGTCTTCAAGGCGCGCTACGTGGCTCGAGGCTTCAGTCAGCGAGAGGGAGTTGACTTCTTTCAGACCTTCTCCCCCACCCCGAAGATGACCACTCTTCGGGTGCTGCTGCACATAGCCGCTCAGCGCGACTACGAGCTTCACTCACTTGACTTCAGCACTGCTTTCTTGCAGGGCAGCCTGCACGAGGAGATCTGGCTGCGCCGCCCTCCTGGCTTCACTGGGTCGGTTCCTCCTGGTACCCAGTGGAGGCTTCAGCGGCCGGTCTACGGTCTCCGCCAGGCACCGCGTGAGTGGCACGACACACTGAGGACGACACTTGCGGCTCTTGGGTTCGCTCCCTCCACTGCTGACCCGTCACTGTTTCTACGCACAGACACCTCGCTGCCGCCGTTCTACATCCTCGTGTACGTCGACGACTTGGTCTTTGCCACTGCTGACACCGCGGCACTCGCCCACGTGAAGTCGGAGCTGCAGAGGAGACACACGTGCACAGACCTGGGTGAACTGACAAGCTATCTTGGCTTGCGGATCACTCGGGACAGAGCACGGCGCACCATCACCTTGACTCAGTCACACATGGTGCAGCAGATCCTTCAGCGCTTCCGCTTCACGTACTCCTCGCCTCAGTCCACTCCTCTGCCTACCGGTCACTCGCTCTCAGCTCTACCTTCGGATGAGTCCGTAGAGCCGAGTGGCCCGTATCCAGAGCTTGTGGGCTGCCTCATGTACCTGATGACCTGCACTCGACCTGACCTTGCATACCCTCTTAGCATCCTTGCACGCTATGTCGCTCCTGGCCGTCACAGGAAGGAGCACATGGATGCCGCTAAGAGGGTGTTGCACTACTTGTGCAGTACGTCAGGCATGGGGCTAGTGCTTGGAGGGCGAGACCGAGTTGTACTTACTGGACACTCAGACGCTTCTTGGGCGGACGACCAGGCTACTCAGCGGTCGTCTCAGGGTTACACCTTCAGCCTTGGCTCTGGCTCAATTTCTTGGCGTTCTACACGCTCTTCTTCTGTTCTCAGCTCCAGTTGTGAGGCTGAGATCTACGCCACAGCCATGGCTGCCCAGGAGCTACGCTGGCTGACCTACCTGCTGACCGACTTGGGAGAGCGGCCTCGTTCTCCTCCAGTGCTGTACGTCGACAACCAGGCTGCCATTGCCTTGTGTGAGGAGCACAGACTGGAGCACAGAACGAAGCACATCGCCCTGCGGTACTTCCTTGCTCGAGAGCTGCAGCAGCGTGGTCAGCTTTGTCTGCGTTACGTGGCCACTGAGGCCAACCTTGCTGATGTGTTCACCAAGGCGCTTCAGCCTTGTGACCATCAGCGTTTCTGTACTCTTCTAGGCCTTGTGCCTGCTGGACCTCACTTGCTTACTTCTTGACTCTGCTTGTACTGTGATCTTATATATATATATATATATATATATATACCTGCATGTTTACACCTGCTAGGTTGTGATCATTGTATCTCTTGCTATATTATGAAACTGCATGTGAACTGGTCTTGTGACCACTTGCTTGTGCTCAGAATTTGTGTGGTATCCTTGAGATCCACCCTGAGCTTGCTTTGCTTTGCTTTGACTGGTCTCATGACCCTGTGGTTGTCTCCCACTGCGCCTATGGGGGTGTGTCAAACATTGTATGTTTATATTGTGTAGGCTGTAGTGGGTTACACCTTAGGGGGTACACAAAGTTAGGGTTTCCTACTTGTACCAAACTCTGAGCTAGTTCATTCATTCCTCGTTCAGTTATTCTGACAAAGCGAGTTGTACCGAAGCAAAGGCTTCGGCGAACCGCTACTTCCCCTCTTTTTGGTACAAAAGAGGGGGCGAAGGCCATTTGGCCTTCACCCACGTTTTCATTTCGAACTTTCAATTTCAAGTTTCCCACCCTCCCACCCTAGCATAACGTACATGATAGCTCTGAATGTTGTATGATGCTTGGACGATAAAATCTTGTACTTGCCAGTTGAAATGAGACGTTGCATTTGCAAGGCAAATCGCAAGCTTTCACAAACCTGGACTTTGTGGGCAGTGCGAGGAGGGGTCAGAGAAGATGAAGAGGGGTCACTAGAGGTGCGCGGGTCAAACGGACGGCTGGGATGGGATGGCAGGTCACGAACTAAAGAGTAAATGTAGAATCAGAAAATCCTCGTGTCACCAATCCTGGTTCCTTGCATATTATTATTCATTATCCATAGAATGAATAAATATTGTTGTTATATTTTTTCTCACCTAGAGGATACCATTTTTCCTTTCGTGCGCCGGGTACTGATTTTCCGGTACCTTCCGGTAACCAGGTTTTACGTTGTGGATTAGCTTTAGAGGTAAAAACTGACCGTATCACTATGTCGGGTAGAAGAGAAGTGGATACACGGTTTTACAAGTAGAAGAGAATGAAAGTTTTATCACTTCGCTCTTCACCGAGTTTAGAGAAGGCCAACGGGACGCCGTCCCCATACTTCCCCCTTTACTTTACCCTATCAAGCAATCCCAGTCGATTAGAAGGAGTTTGATCCTATTTTAACTGTCGATAACGGTTTTAGAATTTCTGAAGGGGCGCGGAATAACACTTTATTTCGTTGGGCGATGATTTCAAGAAAAGAAAGTGTAGTTGATGATGAAATTTCGTTAGTGATTAACTTTATCAATTCGTACGGGTTAATGGTTAAATTTGTTTTTCTGGTCGTAACCAGTTTAAGGGGTATCCACTCCTAGATGAGCACGTGCTAACCCCTACTTGGGGCTGGCAGAACACGCCTGCACGGGGGTGGGTTCGATCCCAGGACCTCATCTATCGGAAGTGCCTCTTTCTACTGACTAGGCCACTTCGGGATTTTATCAATTCGTACGGGACAGAAGCCTTAGGGTACATTCCGCCCTGCCCTGGACATGTCCCAATCGTACATGTCCCAATCGGGTGTACCGCTCCGAACCGAACTAAACCAGAGAAGCGAAAATTTTGAAACTAGGGTGTAATTCGGTGTAATAAGATGCAGTGCGGTAGAATCGATTGGAACACTTCGATTGGGACGTTGTCCACAGCGGAATGTACCCTTATTAGATTCTAACGAAGTCAGTTTTTTTTTAAGTCTGCTCTTTCTCGGACGTACAATTATCAAGCTATCGGGTAGAAGATCTGAAAGACTGTTTACTTTAGTGGGGTTATTTGACACTAATTCCACCGCTTTCTTCTGGTTCTACTAAAGTGGTGGCGGACTGTAGAAATTCTTGTTCACTACCAGAATACAGTTTATTTCATATCGATGGGTGAAAATCAAGTACGGTAACTGGCACTGCCACGCAGTAATGGAAGCCTTATGGCACAGTCAGGGCAAAGGCAGCGAGGAGCAACAGTGGTAGTAGCCCTGGTCATCGAATTTGAACCTCTGCGACAGATGCACCTCCCCCAGGCGCACCTCCCCCCACTCCGTGTCCCCATGCTGTGCCACGATGAGGGAGGCATCGAATGGCACTCGAGCATTGCGATGTGGGCTGGGGGGGGCAGAGCAAGGAGAGGAAAGGTGGGGGGTGGGGGAGTGGGTGGAACAGGACAGGCGAACGAGGCCTGCAGCATGGAAAGTATGAAAGTGTGACTATCTTTTAAGAAATATCAAAAAGGGACACTCTGGTTCCAAGTGATGTGTAGGGCGAGGTAGGTGGACAAGACGGAAGGGGAACTAATCCAGGAAGGTAAAAGCGGAGGACGGAAGATGTGGTGGTGAATTATGATCAGGGATTGGCTGTGTGCTGCATGCACAAAACACACTCGCATAGCTAGCGCGCACACACCAACCTCTCACCTACCTGCCCCCCCAACCCAGATACCCACCTGCACCTAACCAATCTCCCCCACGCTTAATCCTTCCCACACCCACCCAATGTCCCCGCACCCACCCTTTCCTGTGGCTCGTGTTCATGACGGCGGCGTGTAGCTGGTGAGTACCTCTCTACCCACACCTCCCATGCCTAATCGTGCGCACACCCGCACAACCCCCCCCACGCACCCTTTCCTGTGGCTCGTGTTCATGATGGTGGCGTGTAGCTGGTGAGTACCTCTCTACCTACACCTCCCATGCCTAATCGCGCGCACACCCACCCAATCCCCCCCCCACGCACCCTTTCCTGTGGCTCGTGTTCATGATGGTGGCGTGTAGCTGGTGGGAGGGGGGTGGTGTGGTGGAGCAAAGGAGGCGGGGGAATGAAGGAGTTTGGGGAGGGGGAGAGAAGGTCGGGTGGGGGAGGGGGAGAAGAACGGGAAGGAAGAGGAGAGAAAAGAGACAAGAAGAAAACAAGAACAGGATGACAAGAAGAAAAGAGGGTAGTCGACGAGAGAGCGAGACGAGAACAGGATTACTTTGCTCTAGTGACATACTTCTGACATTCTGACCACCTCATTTGAGAGCTCTCAAATCGTCAGTGAGAGGTTTCAAATGAGGTGGATTATTTTTCAAGTCTTCTCAAGAATCACCTGCTTTTCGGAATGATCCAAATGACTGATATACTACAACCCTCCACATGCTGCTACAACCCTCCACATGCTGCTACATCCCTCCACGTGCTGCTACAACCCTCCACATGCTGCTACATCCCTCCACATGCTGCTACAACCCTCCACATGCTGCTACATCCCTCCACATGCTGCTACAACCCTCCACAAGCTGCTACAACCCTCCACATGCTGCTACAACCCTCCACAAGCTGCTACAACCCTCCACAAGCTGCTACAACCCTCCACATGCTGCTACAACCCTCCACATGCTGCTACATCCCTCCACATGCTGCTACAACCCTCCACATGCTGCTACATCCCTCCACATGCTGCTACAACCCTCCACAAGCTGCTACAACCCTCCACATGCTGCTACAACCCTCCACATGCTGCTACATCCTCACATCACTTGCTAGCCCAGCTCACCTTGAGAGGCTGGCGGCAGTCCCTAGGGGTGACGAGCCCTGCCTCCCTGCACGCCTCCCTCAGCACCTCTGGCGGAGAGGGGGGAAAAGAGGCACGGGTGATGGAGAAGTTGGAAGAACATGCCATTGCACGTGCAGGCAGGACTTACTCTGACACACTGGCCCTGCCGCATGACATGGTGATGCAAGCACAGCGGGGCAACGCAAGCATGGCACGGCAACGCAAGCATGGCATGGCAACGCAAGCATGGCACGGCAACGCAAGCATGTCATGGCAACGCAAGCATGGCATGGTCACACAAGCATGGCACGGCAACGCAATCATGGCACGGCAACGCAAGCATGGCATGGCAACGCAAGCATGGCATGGCAACGCAAGCATGGCACGGCAACGCAAGCATGGCACGGCAACGCAAGCATGGCATGGCAACGCAAGCATGGCACGGCAACGCAAACATGTCATGGCAACGCAAGCATGGCATGGCAACGCAAGCATGCCCTGGCAACGCAAGCATGACCTGGCAACGCAAGCATAGCATGGCAACGCAAGCATGGCATCGCAACACAAGCATGGCATGGCAACGCAAGCATGGCACGGCAACGCAAGCATGGCATGGCAACGCAAGCATGGCACGGCAACGCAAGAATGGCACGGCAACGCAAGCATGGCACGGCAACGCAAGCATGGCACGGCAACGCAAGCATGGCACGGCAACGCAAGCATGGCATGGCAACGCAAGCATGGCACGGCAACGCAAGCATGGCATGGCAACGCAAGCATGGCATGGCATGGCATGGCATAGCATGGCATGGCATGGCATGGCATGGCATGGCATAGCATGGCATGGCATGGCATGGCATGGCATACCTTGGCACGGCATGGCATAGCTTGGCATGGCATGACATGGCACGGCATGACATGGCATGTCATCTCACCACAGACGGCAGGCAGGCGGGTCCCCCCATCCACCTCCTCCATGTCCGCATACAGCACATGCGCCTTGGACGGATGCCCCCTCATACACCTCTGCAGCCAGGGGAGAGTTGGGTGTCAGGGGTAAGAACAAGCACGTGAGGAGGCAGCCTGTTCCCCCCATCCACCTCCTCCTTGCGCACATGCGCCCTGGAAGGATGCCCCCTCATACACCTCTGCACAGTTTGGGTGTCAGGGGTGGGTCAAGGGTGTAAGGAGAGGAATGGGTTGGGAGGGAGGCACATGTGCCTTGAATGCCACAACTCCCACCCCACTCGTCCATGTCGCAAGATGAGAGGCTCACCAGTCAGCACAGAGCCCGAGACCCCATCAGACGACTTTCTTGAGCCTCAAACAAGCAGCAGGAGGCTGGGTAAGAAAGGCAGAGAGCATGAGAAGTACATGGACAACAACTCACGATGCCAACGACTTAAGAGGCGCCTCATAGGTGCAGCAAGAGGCTGGGCAAGGACGGCAGGGAACGTGAAAGTTACACCGCGAACAACTCACAAGGCCAACGAGGCGAATGACAAGAGGTGCATCGCCCAGCACTTCTTGCACTCTCGGCATGACCGCCTGGTAATGGACATGTGGGGCAGGCAGGCACAGTGGGACTTTCTTGAGTCGACTCAAAAATCGACTCATCACACGAATGAAAAAGGCGTGTCGCCCAGCACCTCTTGCACTCTCGGCATGGCCGCCTGGTCAAGGACGTGGGGCGGGCAGGTACAGTGATAAGGTGCAAAAGGACATGGAATCAGCACAATCTATGTTAAACGTTCATGTCATGTCAGGTGTTCGTCACTGATGTGATGAGTCGAAAACGGAAACCAGACGTGCATGGGATGTGATGTGGATCTAAATTGGGACATCCAGCTTAGATGTGGATGCGGTGGCATGCGTGGCGATGGGTCATGGGGTACTGGCACAGAAGGAAATGACTCGTTCCTCCCTCCTCACCGCTCACCTGCAGGGCGTTGGCAGCTGCTTGCACGCGGAGGGGTGACCAGAGCTTGAGCATTTGAACGGTGAGGTGGAAGGTGGCTGGGTTGATGAAGATGGACGGGTGCACTCCCCCTGGTGGGGTGTGGCGTGGGGTGGGGAAGGGGGGAGGAGAGGAGAAGCGGGATGGGATGGTGGGGCGCGGAAGCGGGGTGACTTGTGAGGCGCGGAGCGGAAGGATGGCCAGCTGCGATGAGTGTGGCGACCAGGGCTTGAGCATCTGCACGGTGCGGTGGAAGGTGGCTGGCTTGATGAAGATGGACGGGTGCACTCCCCCTGGTGGGGTGTGGCGTGGGGGGAGGGGTTGGGGGGAGAAATGGGGGGGAGGAGGGTGGAGAGGGATGATGGTGATGGGGGAAAGGGCGTGCGGTGGCTGGGCTGATGAAGAGAGGACGGGTGAATGCTACCTACCTAGTGGGCCGTGCCATGGGGAGGGGGTGTGGTTTGGCTGTTGATGGTGAGACATTGATGGTCAGGGACACTAGGAATGGCCAACAGGAGGAATCAATGTTGACTCAAATATCACTAACAGAAAAGATTAGAGCAGATGATGACTCCATGTTGTTGAATGAATGTACCGCGCCTGGCCTGGTATTCAATCAGCCATGCCTCCCTCGAGTGCGATTTGGAGTTGGAAAACGCTGACTGTACATCGCATGGAAGATTCACAACAGAAGCACCAATCTCTCATTCCCTCACTCATTCACTCACTCACTCACTCAGTCATTTACTCACTCACTCATTCACTCACTCACTCACTCACTCACTCACTCACACTCATTCACTCACTCACTCACTCACTCACTCACCATACTTGTCCATCACTCCCGTCCCTCTCTGACCGCCTGGCTGCTGCTCCCACGGCTTCTCCTCTCCCCTCTCCCCTCTTTGCATTGCACCTGGTACCCTCTCCCCTTCCCCACGCTCCCCTCCTTGAGCACACACAGAAGACTCGCCACCAGCAGTTGTTGCAGCAGAGGCATCACCAGCTGCAACACCCACTGCTGCAGACGAAGGATCAGCACCGACAGGGTCAGCAGCAGCAGCGGCGGCGGCGGCAGCGGCGGCATCGTCACAGCGCACTCTCTTCCCTCCTACTCTCATGCCTCCTCCTATGCCCTCCTCGCCTCCACTCTTATCCGCCTTCCCTTCCCCTTCCTCCTCTTCCTCCCCGCAGTCTTCTTTCTCTTCCCTCCCCCCAACTGCTGCTCTACGATCAGCGTGCTTCACGTCTTCTCCCACTACCCCGCCCTCTTCCCCCTCCTCCCTTCCTGCGTCAACAGCAGCAGCACCACCAACGACAACACCAGCACCACCAGAAGCACCGTCAGAATTAGCAGTGTTACCAGCAATAGCAGCAGCAGGAGCAGCAGCAGCAGCAGCAGCGGCATCATCAGCACCAGCAGTGCTACCAGAATAAGCAGTCTCAGGTGGCGCTGTGAGCTCCTCCTCCTCCTGAGTCAACGGAAAGCCCACCGAGTGCAGCACGGAGGAGCGGAAGTCATGCAGGCGAGCCACCAACGGGCGGTGCGAGGCGAGGGGGAGGGAGAGGAAGTGCGAGTAGCCCACTGCTGGGCTGTCGATGGCCTGTCAGAGGAGGGGGAGAGAGGGGAGGGAGAAGGTACGAGTGGGAACGGCGGTGAAAGAGGGGTTGTCTGCAGGGAGAGAGAGGAAGTGCGAGTAGCCCACTGCCGGGCTGTCGATGGCGTGCCCAAAAGGGGGGAAGAGACGGGTGAGAGAGGAGGTGAGAGCATACTTATGTTTATGTTCGGTGAATACAGGACCGTTTTGAGAGATGGGGCTGCAAGTCAACACTATCTTCACCTTGCAACTGCAGGGGTGTGAATGGGCTGCCGAGGGGCAGGGCACAAGACATGGGTGGGAGAGGTGGGGGGTTGTCGATGGCAGCCCATTTTCAGATATGCGATGCTGGGCTATCACCAAACATGCACTATCGCCTGAACTCATCGTAGCAGTAATTAGGTCTCGACTCTCACATCTTGCATATCCCCTAAACCACCTCGCCTTTCACTGTGAACCAACCTCACCTGGCCTATCACAACACGTTTTGCCTGAGCTCACCTGCGCGAGCACAGAAGCAAGAAGGTCCACTGCTGCTGTTGCTGCTTCGTCACTCGAACCAGATATCTCTGAGGCACCAGCGAGCAGGGAGGGAAGAGCAGGACGGAAAGGAGAGGAAACGAGGCTAGAAACAGGGGGAGCGCAACGGAATGGTGCCATTGACTGGATTGCAATGGTACAGTGAACGAGGGGCAGCCAGCCTGCAGCATTGGGCCATTCAGAGCGCTAGTCAACGCTCTACATTGTAGTCTGGGGCCCCTAGGTTACGTACGGCCCCTAGGTTATGGCCCCCCCTAGGTTACGGCCCTTAGGTTATGGCCCCTAGGTTACGGCCCCTAGGTTATGGCCCCTAGGTTATGGCCCCTAGGTTACGGCCCCTAGATTATGGCCCCTAGGTTACGGCCCCTAGGTTACGGCCCCTAGGTTACGGCCCCTAGATTACGGCAACTAGGTTACGGCCCCTAGGTTACGGCCCCTAGGTTACGGCCCCTAGGTTACGGCCCCTAGGTTACGGCCCCTAGGTTACGGCCCCTAGGTTACGGCCCCTAGGTTACGGCCCCTAGGTTACGGCCCCTAGGTTACGGCCCCTAGGTTACGGCCCCTAGGTTACGGCCCCTAGGTTACGGCCCCTAGGTTACGGCCCCTAGGTTACGGCCCCTAGGTTACGGCCCCTAGGTTACGGCCCCTAGGTTACGGCCCCTAGGTTACGGCCCCTAGGTTACGGCCCCTAGGTTACGGCCCCTAGGTTACGGCCCCTAGGTTACGGCCCCTAGGTTACGGCCCCTAGGTTACGGCCCCTAGGTTACGGCCCCTAGGTTACGGCCCCTAGGTTACGGCCCCTAGGTTACGGCCCCTAGGTTACGGCCCCTAGGTTACGGCCCCTAGGTTACGGCCCCTAGGTTACGGCCCCTAGGTTACGGCCCCTAGGTTACGGCCCCTAGGTTACGGCCCCTAGGTTACGGCCCCTAGGTTACGGCCCCTAGGTTACGGCCCCTAGGTTACGGCCCTAGGTTACGGCCCCTAGGTTACGGCCCCTAGGTTACGGCCCCTAGGTTACGGCCCCTAGGTTACGGCCCCTAGGTTACGGCCCCTAGGTTACGGCCCTAGGTTACGGCCCCTAGGTTACGGCCCCTAGGTTACGGCCCCTAGGTTACGGCCCCTAGGTTACGGCCCCTAGGTTACGGCCCCTAGGTTACGGCCCCTAGGTTACGGCCCCTAGGTTACGGCCCCTAGGTTACGGCCCCTAGGTTACGGCCCCTAGGTTACGGCCCCTAGGTTACGGCCCCTAGGTTACGGCCCCTAGGTTACGGCCCCTAGGTTACGGCCCCTAGGTTACGGCCCCTAGGTTACGGCCCCTAGGTTACGGCCCCTAGGTTACGGCCCCTAGGTTACGGCCCCTAGGTTACGGCCCCTAGGTTACGGCCCCTAGGTTACGGCCCCTAGGTTACGGCCCTAGGTTACGGCCCCTAGGTTACGGCCCCTAGGTTACGGCCCCTAGGTTACGGCCCCTAGGTTATGGCCCCTAGGTTACGGCCCCTAGGTTACGGCCCCTAGGTTACGGCCCCTAGGTTACGGCCCCTAGGTTACGGCCCATAGATGTTGAGGCGCCTGAAGAATCAGCCTGTACCACTCACTCCCTGCATGATACTCCAGTTGGCGCCCCCATATTGCGTTCAGCTTAAACCCTAAACCATTGTTCGCACGAACCAACCATAGCATGGAAAGGCAGGGCAGGCATGGGCATGTCATGGCCTAGCATGGGAAGGCACAGACAGCAGGCATGGGGATGTCATGGCATGGCAGTACCGAAGACAGCATGGGGGTGAATCCTCTTGTTGAAGTGTGTGGGTGCCTTCACCACACAAGATGTCGCCTGGGCTATGCTGCTGCACGGTGTAAGGCAAACAGAGGCAGAGCAGTGAGAGGATGGAATGAGTGCATGGAGTATATGCCAGCAGTGGACTGGGGGAGGGAATGGATGGGGAGTGCGTCCATTGCAAGAATCGCTTCACTTCACCTTCACTGCAACAGCTGATGCAAGGGCAGGTGATGGCAGCAGCATGGCAATGGGCAACGCGGCGGTGTAGAGCGGTCAAGAGGGGGGGATGGCAGGGGCGGCGGCAGTGAGCTGCCTTGCAGGGATGCGCATGTGAGTGTGCAGTCGGCGTAGACGCACGTACAATAAGGAGGAGGGGCGGTAAAGGAGGATGTCAGGAAGAGCGGGTGGGTACGACGAAGCATGCATCTTACTCGTTGCGTGAGAACAAGCCAGCCAGTGCTCCGTCAACCTGGGTGGCATGGCATGGCATGGCATGGCAGGCATGGCATGGCATGACAGGCATGGCATGGCATGACAGGACGTGGCATGGCACGGGATGGTGGATGGTAAGCCAGAAAAACACAAAGAGGAAAGTAAGAACTTCAGTCCATGGCGTTGAGCCGTGGTGGCCACAGCTGGTGGCTACTGCGGCTGTTGAACCGGTAGGCTGTAGCCACCAGTACTGGCGGCCATGGTACACCGCACACAACTCCTTGCGAAGCACTCTTTACCTCCTCACTGCGTGCGCACCTGCACTTGCATCACAGTCGTCCCGTCGCTCTTCACTTCCTTTACAATCACACTCGGTGTGCCATACAGCCGCTCCACCTCCCCTGCTGTCATCTGCACACCCCCTCCTGAACCCCCTCCCCCTCTTCCCCTTCCCCTACCTCCCCCTCCCCTTCCTCCTCTCCCTCCCCCTCCTCCCCACCGTTTCCCCCTTCGATATCCTCCTTCTCCCCCCATTCCTCCGCCCTCTCCCCCTCGCTCCCCTCCTTCCCATGCCTCCAATCTCTCCCCCTCCCCCTCTCCCCCCCCCCATCGCCATTCCTCCGCCAAGTGTTCCACTTTCCGCCCCTCCCCCTCCCACTCCACCTCCCGCTTCCATTCCCCCTCCCGCTCACCTTCCCCCTCCCCGGCCAGGCACCAGTTTCCGCGCCAATAGGTTCAGAGATTCTCGTTCCGCCACCCCCGCTTCCACCCTCTCCGCCACCCCCTCCGCCGGGCCTCCGCTCTCTCCGTGCATTGCCGCCATCTCCGCCGCCACTTTCCGCCATCGCCGTGTCCCTCGCTGGCGAAGCAGAAGCCATTGCTAGGCGCTTTTCGCACAGAGTGGTAATTTCGCCCGGCCGAAAGGTGACGAACTTCTGGCGAAATTCAGATTCCCGACGAAAAGGAAAAGTAGGGCTAAATTCACGAGCTCGCAGCGTTTTCGCAGTCGTCGATCGAGCTGCGTCGATAAAAAATACGTACAATCGCCTTTCTCGCGGGTAATCGTGTCGTCGATGATTGGTCTAAAGGTCAACCGTTTCCGACGACTTCGAGTCGCGACGCGCGCAAGTGAGGGAAATTCCAGAGGATATGCGATCGTCGCGAAAGGGGCATGGCGGTGCGACACTAGGCGACGAAGGGATGACGTGGCGGTCGCCAGACTAGCGTCCCAAAGAGGAATAAATCTTGTTATGTCGGAGCGCGAACAAAATATGTGGGTGGTCCGTGGGGCGTGAAAAGGGTTGTCCTGCTTGGCGCGCTTCGAGCCAGTTCTTCGAAATTCGAGTTCTACGTGGATGATGCGAAGCTGGAATATTGACGCGGTAGGGTTCAGTTTGGTGAGAAGTGGTGAAAACTGGTGGAAATAACTTAACGTTCCCTTTCAAATGTAAACAAGCTTCCTTTCAAATGTCGAATTTGAGTTCCCTCCTTTGACCTCATACCATACGCGATACACGTCTGACAGGTGGTCTCACTGGTACCCCAAGCGAGTTTCGTCTAGTGCGGTTGAGCGAGCTTCGTGGACGTTCTTGCACGGCCTGCCTGAGCGATGAACGGTTTATTACGGTCCTTCGAGAATCAACCTTATTCCAGAAATTACATGAAGCTCTTCTCAACCAGCTAACTGGCTAACCTAGCCGGTCGCCAAGCGGATCAGCAAAGAGAATTCAATCGCCGCGCTAGTTCGCCCGCGGACTTTCGGCCAGTGGTAGTGACCGTTTGAGGGGGTTTAATTCTCAAAAAGCTTTTCAGGTGGCCATAGAAAAACCGCCATGCCGTCCGACGGCCGAACTGCGAGCTGACCGTTTGAGGCGACAGAAGGAAATCAACATGAACTTTCCCACTGTTATCCGCATGTTGACCGACTGAGGGGACTGGTTTCTTTTCCGCCATGCCGGGCGGGCGCGCCGTCCGCGTGCTGAACGTGGCGGAGAAGCCGTCCGTCGCGCGCGCCGTGGCGGAGATCCTCGCGCGGTACGGTGGCGGCGGAGTGAGGTCGCGCGAGGGGCGGTCCGTGTACAACCGCATCTTCGAATTCACGTGAGCGACGGGCCACGCAGGAAGCGACGCCATGCCATTCCCCATCCCCATCCCCAATCCTCATCCCCATGCCATTCGGCTTTCCCATGAACAACTAGGATATGCGCGTTATAAGCCGCCAGATGAACAAGCAGCCGTGAGAAAACCTTCAGCCGCCAGTCACCACTGCATGGGTTTTTCCTTCAAGGGCTCAAAAACCGCCTGAATTTGCGCTCATTTCCGGTCAAAGCACAACTGCCTTTCTCCATCAAGTGTGATGTGATGGACTTGTCATGGGATAGATCTCAAATAGTCCCGTGGAGTGGGTTGATCGGATATGGCTGGTTCAATGTCAACATATCTGGGCAAGTGTGATCTCATCCACAAATACTTGATTATTAGATTGAACCAGCTATGGGACTTGTCATTTCGCCAATGCTGGAACGTCACTCTCCCCCCTCCCCCTGGTGTCTCCCCCTCCCCTCTCCCCCTCCTGTCTCCCCCTCGTGTCTCCCCCTCCCCCTCCTGTCTCCCCCTCCCCCCTCCCTCTCCCCCCTTCCCCTCCTGTCTCCACCTCCCCCCTCCTCGTCCTGTCTCTCCCCCTCCTGTCTCTCCCCCCGTCAGCTACACGATGAGCAACCAGGCATGTGACATGGTGACGACGTCAGTGGCGCGATGCTGCTATGCACTCATCTAGTCATGTGCTCCCTCTTCCTGCCTCTCTCCCCTCATCAACTACACAATGAGCAACCAGCCGTGCGATGTCAGTGACTCGATGCTGCTAAGTGCTTATCGACTCATGTGCCTCTCCCTCCCTCTCCCTGCCTTTTGAGTCGACTCAAAAGTCACCTCTCTCCCCCCATCAGCTACACGATGAACGGGCAGCTGCGCGTCATGGCGAGGCATCTGATGGAGATGGACTTTCATGATAGATCCTCCCCTCCAACCCTCCTCCCTCCCCCTCCCCCTCCTCATACCTCTCCTGTCTCTCCCCCCATGCGCCAGCTACATGATGAACGGGCAGCCATGCGACATGGCGATGACGTCAGTGACGGGGCATCTGATGGAGATGGACTTTCAGGACCCCTTCAGGAAGTGGCATGCCTGTGACCCCCTGCAGCTCTTTGACGCGCCCGTGCACAAGGCCATCCCGCAGGTGGGAGGGTTGGGTTGTGGGCTGTTCGTTGTGAATTCCTGGTATGACTTGTATGAGAATCTCCTCCCCTTCAGGAAGTGGCACGCCTGCGAACCGCTCAGCTCTTTGAAGCGCCTGTCCCGTCCACAAGGCCATCCCGCAGGTGGGAGGGTTGGGTTGGCTGTTTGTTACTTCCAGGCATGGATGGTATGGATAATGGGACCCTTCTTTGGGAGTTGCACACCTGTGACCCCCTGCAGCTCTTTGACGCGCCTGTGCACAAGGCCATCCCGCAGGTGGGATGGGAGGGTCTGGCTGGCTAACATGTTAACCCCAGGGATGGATGATATGGAATGCCCCTTTCAGGAAGTGCCACACCTGCTACTCCCTGCAGCTGCCTGTCTACAAGGCCATATCGCAGGTGGGAGGTACAAGGACGTACCATTCCAGGTGGGAGGGTGTAACGCTGTATAACCTCAGGTGGGAGGGTATAAGGCCATACATTCCAGGTGGGAGGGTACAGACGGCTGTATATATTCTAGATGTGGTTTTATTGTAATCTAGATGTGGTTTTATTGTAATCCAGATGTGGTTTCATTGTGCGTAGAACCGCTTGATATTTTTTTCCATGTGCAAAGCTACATTGAAGGTGACGCACGGGTGTTAATGCTGCTCACCATTTCGCCCGCTGTCTCAAACCCTGGAGAAGCCTTCAGATGACTAGATTTTGGTGGAAAGTCAGCACGTGCGAGCTTGTTCTTACAGGCGAGATTTTCAGCAGAAAGGACCAGCAACGTCGATAGCCACACATAAACCCTAAACCTTATTACCTAACAACAACGCTGTTGGTCCTTTCTGCGAAACATCTCGCCTGGCAGGACCAAGCTCGCACATGTTGACGTTTGCACCAACTGAACTCTTCTCCAACGTTTGAGATGTCGGGCGAAATGGTGAGCAGCATTAACAACCGTGCGTCGCCTTCAATGTAGCTCTGCACATGGAAGAAGATCAAACGGTTTTACGTACAATGAAACCCCATCTTGACTGCATGCGGCCACTTCTGTGCGTGCATGTGTTTCTGTGCGTGCATGTGTTTCTGTGCGTGCATGTGCTGCTAATGCACACACGTGCTGCTAGTGGAACTGTTTGGTTCCAACATATCAACAAGCACCAAGCCTCAAGGCTTCAAGGCCCATTCCTGGAGAACCATCTTACCCCTTTTTTCTTACCCATCTTCTCATCCTTATGTGCCCTCCCCACATCTCCGCATCTCCTCCCTGACTGCTTTGCAGGAGAAGGCAGCAGTGGATGTGTTGCTTTGTCTTCCTAGTTCCCATCATCACCTGCCATCCCCCTCCACCACCCCCGTTCATCTGTAGGACAAGGCTGCACTGGAGGTGACGTTGAGGGAGGAGGCGAGGCGCAGCGACCAGCTGGTGTTGTGGCTGGACTGCGACAGGGAGGGCGAGAACATCGCCTACGAGGTCATGCAGGTGGGTCATGCAGGTGGGCCTTGTCCTTCGTACCTTGTGCCTTGTCGTCCGTTGTGCTTGCTCACTTCTCTCCCCATTTGAGGCGCAGCGACCAGCTGGTGTTGTGGCTGGACTGTGACCGAGACGGCGAGAACATCACCTACGAGGTCATGCAGGTGGGCCTTGTTCCCTGCCGCTGTGCCTTTCCCAACTATCTTGCTCTTTTCTGGGCGAATTTGAGGCGCCTCAAAGGCCAGACGGGTGGCAAAATTGCCTACGAAGTCAGTCACGCAGGTGTGCTCTGCTCTGCCTTGTGCCGTGCCTGTCTATCTTGATCTTGGTGGCGATATCATGTCTTTGTGATTCGTCTTACTTATTATCTTCTTCTTTTCTTGTTCTCTTCACCTCTCAGCCTCTTAGAATGGTTTGCCTGCAAGTAAAGTTTTTTGCGATTTCTAGAAAGTGACCACAACCAATTCAGTGGTTTGCATGAGTGCAGGTGTGCTTGTCTGCTAATTCGCGCCTGGCTGTCTTTCGAGCGCACTTCTCAGCCCTTGTTGACAGGTGCACGCACTTCTCACTCGAGCCTCTTTCCTCATTCGTAGCTCGTGAAGGCTTGTATGCTTCATTCCTATGACAAACGGTTGTGGGGAAGAGACCACAATCTTTGTGCTTGTTGCTAAGAGTCAAGCTGCATGAATACAAAGACGTTTACAAGTCAACAACACAGTGCCCTTCTCAAGCCAAGACTGTCTGCTTGTTCTGCAGAGGTCCCAGCTCATTCGTTGTTCCATGGCACGTCACCGTGTTTCACTCTTGTTGCTGTTTCAACCAACCCTCTTCTGCCACGTGGCACCCCGCTGTCCAATCAGAGACATCCATCATGCGGCTCAGAACTTGGGCCGCCCAATTCCAACTTCGCAGACGCTGTTGACGCTCGGCAGGTAGTGGATGGATGGGCGGCATGTGTTGGCAGGTAGTGGATGGATGGGCGGCATGTGTTGGCAGGTAGTGGATGGATGGGCGGCATGTGTTGGCAGGTAGTGGATGGATGGGCGGCATGTGTTGGCAGGTAGTGGATGGATGGGCGGCATGTGTTGGCAGGTAGTGGATGGATGGGCGGCATGTGTTGGCAGGTAGTTGTTGGTGGGCGGCACCTGGTGGCCCGGTGTTGCGGGCATGGACGGATGTGCAAGGCTAGTTGTCAAGAGGGAAGGAGTATGGACGGGAGTGGGGAATAATAAGGCATCAGGAAGCATTATTTGTTCACCTACCCTAGTCCGTCTTATCTTGTATCTTCCCTTCTCCGTTGTATCCTTTTTTGCTCTCAACAGCACTGTCCCACCTCCCCCCTCCCTTCTTCTCCCTTCAACTACTGTATACACTCACCACACACTCACCCACCCACAAACACTCACTCACTCACTCACACACACCCATCCCCTTCAGGAGATAGATCTGCGCATAGGGGCGTCCTTCACGCGCTTCCAGACGATGCTGCTGCAGAACCGCTTCGACCTGCCCTCGCCCTCCGCCGACCGCAAGCCAGTCATCAGCTATGGGCCCTGCCAGGTGGGACATGGGCAGGAGTGAGGGATCTGGGTGTTGCTAGATGGTTTTGTGTTGTGCTGCCTGGCCTGCCTTTGCCCTCTGCCGACCGCAAGCCTGTCATCAGCTACGGACCCTGCCAGGTGGGGCCTGGGCAGGTGGGCCCTGGGCAGGTGGGGCCTGGGCAGGTTGGTAGTTAGTTTTAATCAGCCGATCCGTCTGTTGACCACGAGTGTGCTTAGCAGCAGTCACGGGAACCATGCGTCATGAGGTTGGCTGCAAGAAAACTCGGCGTTGCTATGCTCACCAATTCCCCCCTGACTTGCCACCCTCCTGTTCTCCATGCTCGGCTTTGCCGAGGAGTGCTATTGGGACGTGTTGGCACACGTGGAAGAGCCTTTTCCTTCTCGTCAACCTCTCCTCTCCCCTTCCCTCTCCCCTCCTCCCTCTTCTTCTTGTCAGTTCCCCACGCTGGGCTTGGTGGTGGAACGTTATTGGGGCATACTGCCGCACGTGGAGGAGCACAAACCCTAAACCCTCGCTCTTCATCGTCCCTTCCCGCCTGGCCTCCAGTTCCCCACGCTGGGCTTCGTGGTGGAGCGCTATTGGGACATACTGGCTCGCATGGACAAGCCCTTCTCACTTCTCCTCATTCTTTCTGCCGCTTGCCTGTCTTTCTCCCTCCATTCCTCCTCCCCCCTCTTCCGTCCGCAGTTCCCCACGCTGGGCTTCGTGGTGGAGCGCTATTGGGACATACTGGCACACGTGGAGGAGCCGTTTTGGGCCATTCACTGCAGATACGTGCAGCAGTCGCCGCCCCCCGCCACCTCCGCTGAATTCTCCTGGCAGTAAGCCCGCCTCCTCACATAGATCCGATCTATGCTATGCTAGGGACTTTCCTCGTGGGGTCCTTGCTGTCGTAGGGTAGAGCATCACTCATCCCTCCTCCCTTTCTCTGCAGTACCACGTCCCACCCATCCCCATCCGATGACCACCACCTCTTCCCCTCACCTCCCAACGCTCTGTGTGGTTGTTCTGCCAGGAGGGGTCGTCTGTTCGACCACCATATCGCTGCCACACTCTTTGAGATGTGCCTCGACAACCCCGTTGCCACTGTCAGTGAACATTGCTTTCAGTCTGTCCTCTGCCCCTGTTCCACTATAAACCCATCCATCCACCGCATCCTCACCGCATCCTCACCGCATCCTCATCGCATCAAAGGTGCCTATGATCCTTTCACCGCACACATCCTCCTCTTCATATCGGCCACTCAGCTCCTCTGCGCCTGTTTTGCATCCTGCCATCCGTCAGTCCCCCCACTGCGGCGGCCCCACATGCCCCCCTCTCCGTAACCTGTCAATTTCCTTCGATCACATGCACCTTACCCATCCCTCCTCCTCTGTGCCCATGTCTTGGGCATCTCAGGGCCTCAGGCAGAATGTGGCACTTGTTATTCTTACAGCTCCCATCGTCCTTTCCTGCATCCTTCACTGTCCATGTAGCGTGTTTTACCCACGTCCCCTCCCTCCAATGGCAGGTGATAGATGTGGCAGGCAGTGAGCTGCGCAAGTTCCCACCGCCGCTTTCCTCTCCCCATTTCCTGCACGCATGCCTGTCTGTCCCCTTATCTTTTCCATCCCCCGCCACCCATTCTCTCCTCCCCCAACGGCAGGTGACGGATGTGGCAGGCAGTGAGCGGCGCAAGTTCCCATCCCCTCTACCCATTTCCTGCATTCCTATCTGTCCCCTTATCTTTTCCATCCACCCACCCCCACCCCCCACCCCACCTCCACGCTCAATGTCAGGTGATGGATGTTTCAGGCAGTGAGCGGCGCAAGTTCCCACCCTTCCCACTCAACACAGTGGAGCTGCAGAAGCGAGCGTCGAGGTTCCTGCACATGGCATCAGAGCACACCATGAAGGTGAATGCTGCGCATGGCATCAGAGCACACCATGAAGGTGAATGCTGCGCATGGCATCAGAGCACACCATGAAGGTGAATGCTGCGCATGGCATCAGAGCACACCATGAAGGTGAATGCTGCGCATGGCATCAGAGCACACCATGAAGGTGAATGCTGCGCATGGCATCAGAGCACAGCATGAAGGTGAATGCTGCGCATGGCATCAGAGCACACCATGAAGGTGAATGCTGCGCATGGCATCAGAGCACACCATGAAGGTGAATGCTGCGCATGGCATCAGAGCACACCATGAAGGTGAATGCTGCGCATGGCATCAGAGCACACCATGAAGGTGAATGCTGCGCATGGCATCAGAGCACAGCATGAAGGTGAATGCTGCGCATGGCATCAGAGCACACCATGAAGGTGAATGCTGCGCATGGCATCAGAGCACACCATGAAGGTGAATGCTGCGCATGGCATCAGAGCACACCATGAAGGTGAATGCTGCGCATGGCATCAGAGCACACCATGAAGGTGAATGCTGCGCATGGCACCAGAGCACACCATGAAGGTGAATGCTGCGCATGGCATCAGAGCACACCATGAAGGTGAATGCTGCGCATGGCATCAGAGCACACCATGAAGGTGAATGCTGCGCATGGCATCAGAGCACACCATGAAGGTGAATGCTGCGCATGGCATCAGAGCACACCATGAAGGTGAATGCTGCGCATGGCATCAGAGCACACCATGAAGGTGAATGCTGCGCATGGCATCAGAGCACAGCATGAAGGTGAATGCTGCACATGGCATCAGAGCACACCATGAAGGTGAATGCTGCGCATGGCATCAGAGCACACCATGAAGGTGAATGCTGCGCATGGCATCAGAGCACACCATGAAGGTGAATGCTGCGCATGGCATCAGAGCACACCATGAAGGTGAATGCTGCGCATGGCATCAGAGCACACCATGAAGGTGAATGCTGCGCATGGCATCAGAGCACACCATGAAGGTGAATGCTGCGCATGGCATCAGAGCACACCATGAAGGTGAATGCTGCGCATGGCATCAGAGCACACCATGAAGGTGAATGCTGCGCATGGCATCAGAGCACACCATGAAGGTGAATGCTCGTTGCATGTCCCGTGGATTTATGGACGTGACCTTTCAAAGCGATACTCCTGCTTTCTTTCCCTCCTCCCATTTCACCTTTGACTCCTTTTCCCCATTCCACCTACCCGTCGCCTATATTCCATCTACCTACATAGTAGATAGGTGCTATCCAACAGCAGCAGTAGAAAGGTATATATAACAGCAGCAGCGATCCACACAAACTCATTTCTTGTAAGAACATTCCATCCTTTCTGTTGCCGCGACGCCATGCAGATCGCAGAGGAGCTGTACCAGCAAAGTGACTTTTGAGTCGACTCAAAAGTCACCTCTTTTCCATCTCCCCTAATGCCTCGCAGATAGCAGAGGAGCTGTACCAGCAGGGCTTCATGAGCTACCCTCGCACCGAGACCGACAGCTTTCCCCCCTCCATGGACCTCCGGGTACGTGCATTCAACCGGGCGCATCTGATATAAACCAGCACAAAGAGTCTGTTTTAGATTTCCAACTTGAGTCCATCGATTGCTGGTTGATTCGAGACAGTCTTCCTATTATTCCGTTCACGTCCGGGTGAGCATCGACACATCACTGGCTCAACACATCACTGGCTCGACCTTCGACTAGACGCGAGCATTACCTGCCCCCCACCCCCCACTTGACAGATGTTCCCTCCCATCCCGTCCCCCATCTCCTCACCCCTCCGTCAGTCCCTGGTATCAGAGCAGGCCAGCAACAGCGCGTGGGGCGAGTACGCACAAAGGTTGCTGGACCCGGCGGCCAATCTGTGGAGGACACCTGGCAGCGGCGGGCACGATGACAAGGCGCACCCCCCCATCCACCCCACCAGGGCGTCCCCACATGGCGAGCCCAACTGGAGCCCGGATCACAAGGTAGGTGTGGTGTGGTGTGGTGTGGTGTGGTGTGGTGTGGTGATGTACGCACTGCATGCCCTGACAGCCTCAAGGTGCACCCCCCCATCAACCCCACCAGGGCCCAACTGGAGCCCGGATCACAAGGTAGGTGTGGTGTGGTGTGGTGTGGTGTGGTGTGGTGAGGTGTGGTGCGGTGTGGTGTGATAATGTACGCCTAGCATCCTGCACGCCCTGCTTTGACAGCCACAACCCACCTCAAGGCACACCCCCCATCCACCCAACCCAATGAAGGCATCAGCTCAGCGCATGGCGAGGCCTACTGGAGGGCGGACCACAAGGTAAGGGTGGTTTGGAACCAGCACAGAATAGCAAATGTTTTTGAGCCATTAGGTGCACCACCCCCCCAATTCACCCACGTTCCGACTACAGACCTGCAGCAGTGATGGTACGGCGTCGTTTGCAGCATCAGACTCAGGCAGCTGCTACCAACATTTTCTGGCAGCTGCTACCAACATTTTCTGGCAGCTGCTACCAACATTTTCTGGCATGATGTTGAGACGTATAAGAGTCTTTCCTTCCCAACCTCTGTCTGCTCCGATTCCCCTCCTCTCCTCTCAAACATTGTTGCTCCTCGTACCAATGCGTGGCAGGGAAAGGGACGTTGTGGCAGACAACGTTCTCCCACACAGCAACACCACAATGTCCCTCATCCCTATATTTGTATGACTTTCTCACCTTCTCCCTCCCTCACCCCCACTCAGCGGCCGTATGAGTTGGTGTGTGTCATTTCCTGGCAAACAGTATCGCAGCCCGCACAACTGCCTCCCCCGTTTCCCTCGCCCCTCTCCCCGCCAACCCCCCCCCCCTCCCTTCCCCCCCCCCCCTCCCTTCCCCCCCCCCCTCTCCCTCCCCCCCCCCCCCCCCTCCCTTCCTCCCCCCCCCCCCTCAACCTCCTCTCAGCGCCTGTGCGAGTTGGTGGTGCGCCAATTCATGACAATGGTGTAACGGCCAGCAGCGCCCTCACACTCCATTCCCCATTCCACACCCCGTCCTCCCCCTCCCCTCCGCCCAGCGCCTGTACGAGCTCGTGGTGCACTACTTCCTGGTGACGGTATCGCAGCCAGCAGCACCCTCACAGCACCGCCTCGCTCCCCATTCCCCATTCCCCATTCCCCACCCCCCTACCTCCCTCCCTTCCTCTCAGCGTCTGTACGAGCTAGTGGTGCGGCACTTCCTGGCGACGGTATCGCAGCCAGCGGTGGGCTTTGAGACGATCGTGACCGTTGATATCGCAGGGGAGGCCTTCAGTGCAAGGGGACTCATGATCACCGCGGTGAGCTGCCTTTGACGCTGAAAAGACACTTTCAGAGGCACTAAAGTCGGTCGTGTTTCAGGCTGGGATCGGGGCACACAGCTTTTAGTCTGAAAGCCCAAATTCTGCCCTTTACTGCAACTCCTGCCCTTGCATGGCTTCATAGATGCTTGCACTACCATTGGGGCACCCCCCCCACTCATTTGATCCCTTGTTCCACCTGCGCTGCGATCCCAATTTCTGTCAAACTCCCCCACCTCCTGCGCTCCCTCCCACCCTCCCGTCCCATTCAAACCACCCCCCAGCGCAACTACCTGGACGTCTTCCGCTACGACTCCTCGGGCGCACACACGCTAATTCGGTCCCTTGTTCCTTTTCCCTCCTCCTCCCCATCCCCCCCCCCCCCCCCCCCCCCCCCTCCCCCCTCCCTCCTTCCCCAGGGCAACTACCTGTACGTGTGCTGCTACGACTCCTGGGGCGCACACACACGCAAGTCGAACGCCGAGGCGACGTATAATGCCCGGGGCACATGCAATTCAAGTCAAGTGCTGAGTCACCCCTCTGTTTCGATCCCCTATTCCTTGTTAACTCCCCTCCCCTCTCCCTCCACGACCCCCCAGTGCAACTACATGGACGTCTACTGCTACGACTAATGGGGCGCACAGACAAGCAAGTGATGCATCATCACATAGTGCCCAGACCACACGCATTCATAACCCTTAACCATAAACCCTAAGCCCTTGCCCTCATCCCCCCCCAGCGCAACTACCTGGACGTGTACCGCTACGACTCCTGGGGCGCACACACGCTGCCGGCCTTCCAGACCGGCCAGCAGTTCACCCCCACGGACCTCGAGCTCAGGTCCGGACGCACCGAGCCTCCACCGCTGCTCTCCGAAGCTGACCTGCTGGGGCTGATGGACAAGGTGGGTGGGTGGGTGTTGTGGGCGAGTGGGCGGGCGGGTAGGCGGGTGGGCGGGCGGGTGGGTGGGTGGGCTGATGGGTGGGGTGGGAGGGTGGGTGGGTAGACAGACCATAGCAGCACCCTTGGGCCACCGACGTGAGCAATACCCCCACCCGCCTCCAACCATGGCAGGCAGGCATCGGAACGGACGCCACGATGCACGACCACACCGAGAAGCTGCTGCGGTGTGTACTCCTGTTCCATGATCCATCCACCAGCCATGTGTGCAAGTGCAACACCTCACCAACCCCATGGCAGGCGGGCATTGGAACGGACGCCACGATGCACGACCACACCGAGAAGCTGCTGCGGTGTGTACTCCTGTTCCATGATCCATCCACCAGCCATGTGTGCAAGTGCAACACCTCACCAACCCCATGGCAGGCGGGCATTGGAACGGACGCCACGATGCACGACCACACCGAGAAGCTGCTGCGGTGTGTACTCCTGTTCCATGATCCATCCACCAGCCATGTGTGCAAGTGCAACACCTCACCAACCCCATGGCAGGCGGGCATTGGAACGGACGCCACGATGCACGACCACACCGAGAAGCTGCTGCGGTGTGTACTCCTGTTCCATGATCCATCCACCAGCCATGTGTGCAAGTGCAACACCTCACCAACCCCATGGCAGGCGGGCATTGGAACGGACGCCACGATGCACGACCACACCGAGAAGCTGCTGTGGTGTGTACCTGTACCTGCAACACCACCCATCCCCGCTCCCCCCCTCCTCATGCAGGCGGGCATCGGAACGGACGCCACGATGCACGACCACGATGCTGCTGGACCGTTGCTATGCCACCAAGGACGCCAACATCCGCTTCAAGCCCACGCCCCTTGTGAGTTGACGCAAGAGTTGGCATGAAGTAACTCATGCTTTCGAGAGTCGACTCACGAGCCACGACCATCGCATGGGAGACTGCTGCTACGCCAACGCCGCTCGTGAGCTGGTGCTAGTGATGAGAGCCCTAACGTACCCCTTTGTGCAGGGCGAAGCACTCAAATAGGAGCCCGACAAATTGACTTTTGAGGCGCCTCAAAAGTACTATTGTTCTGTTGCTGATCTGCCCTTTTGTGCAGGGTGAAGCACTCAAATAGGTGCCCGACAATTTGGTGCTCAAGCCCCAAAAGCTTTGGGAGCCTCACCTTGATGCAAATCCTATATTTGTGTCATGATGATTGATACAGGGCGAGGCACTGGTACTGGGGTACGACAACATGGGGTACGAGCTGTGGAAGCCGCACCTGAGAGCACTGATGGAGAGGGACATGCGGCTGGTCAGTGAGGGGCGCAAGAGCAAAGCTCAGGTGCTGGCAGACACTCTCAGAGCCAGCAAAGCAGCGCTCATGGACGTTAGTGAGTGTGCTCATAACGTGGATTCTTCATGTACGGGGTGCATGAATGTCGCAGCGTATGCTTTTTTGAGAATTCTCAAAAAACATACGCTGCAACTTAAATTCTTCATGTACTGGGTACATGAATGTCTGTCTGGTAAGATGCCTTGGGCAGAGTGATTTCTCAAAGCTCAATGACCGAACCAGGTGTGTGGAAGGCATGAGATCATTGGACATTGGCATGACAAGTACTTTGATCAACATCAAACGGCCAGTCACTATTCCGTGTATCTGCACATATCAAATGTGTTAACCTGTGCTTCCTTACTCGTTGGTTGCCGCCGTATATAACCCGCGTTGACATTGGCTTTTGCATTTTGAAAACACCTTCACACAGTGCTGCCTTCTTCTCCCAGCTCTTTGTCACGTTCCAATGCACCTTTCCATCACAATAGCCCCTGCGCCCTCGTTCTTCCCCACCTCACTTCGCCTCCTGATGCCCTTTACTCTGTTCGCTTCGTCCTCTTTAATTCACAAACATCTCTGCTGTTCCCGCTGCTGTAAATGTCCCCAAATGGTTTCCCTGCAGGCGAGGGAGCAGCAGCAGAAGCTGATTGATGCGTTGGCTCTCTTCTTTGATAGGTGAGCCTCAACTCAACCAGAGCTTTTTGATGATGGGGCGCCTCAAGAGTTTTTCTTTGATGGGGCGCCTCAAGAGTCCATTTCGACGGGTGAGCCTCGATTCAATCTTACTAGAGCGTGTCATTATGCAGATCAGCTGCTCGCATGTTTTTTGAGACTCTTGAGGCACTTGGTCTTGCAAGTAAGCCAATGCTTGTTACTATGCTGCACAGTCTCCTGTACTGCCACTTGCTTGCTTGATTGAGTTGTGGCGGTTCTCTCTCTCACTCGTACCATATTACCACCCCTTGGTTTCTGCACCTCTGCAGAACCAATCCAAAAGCAGATGGAGGGGGGGGACAGGGCGGAGGAGGGGGAGGAGGGGGCGGAGGAGGGGGAGGGGGAGGGGGGCAGGTGGTGGGGGCAATGGGGCCATGCCCCAAGTGCCGCACTTCCCACCTCGTGTTGAAACAACGACCGGTGAGTGAGTCGGTGTTCAAGTACCTTTGAGTCGACTCAAGTGCCACCTCGTCTTCAAGCAGCGACCAGTAAGCGAGTGAGTGAGGGGGGCAGGCGGTGGGGGCCATGGGGCCGTGCCCCAAGTGCCGCACTTCCCGCCTGGTGCTCAAGCAGCGACCGGTGAGTTGCTTTTTGAGGGGCAAAAAGAATGAAGCATCCAACTACTCGTTTTTTTAAGAACCTTTGCAATATGGTAGTGCCGTGACTCTGGTCTTCTGCTCGAGCACTCCCCCTCGCTACCCACATTCTATCCCCTGTCTTCCACGTTTTGAGCTTACTGTAAGACCAGCCATGCGCGTGTCTTTCTGTGCGTGTGTGAATTCAAGATTTTTGCTTTCTCTCTTTCACTCCCTGCTTCACATACCAGCTTTCTCCCCTCCTTCCATTCTATTGCCATCTCGCATTCCCCTCCTCCTCCATTCTCCTCCCATGCTCCTCCCGTGTTCCCGTTTACAATCAGGGCGGCAGCTTCATGGCTGGATGCTCCGGCTTCCCACTTGTGAGCTCCCACTTACCCCGCTTGCCTCTGTTCTCCGCTTGAGGTGACCTCTCTGTATGTGTCCGTAGGCTGGTGACGTATGCACCTCAGTGCATGGCGATGGATGGTCAGATCTGTGCATGGGTGGGTGGATGGGCGGCATATTGAATGATTTCTTCGTCATGCAAGCAAGTGAGGGAGGCTTTCTCTCCTTACTTTCAGGTTCTTCTGGCTAGTTCTTGTCGGGAAATTCGGTTTCATTTTGCTACAATCTCTCCAAAAAGAAAAGCTTCTTTTCTTATTCGCCAGCTCGCTCTGACAACCTCCTCCCCCTTATCTCGTTGTTCCCCAACGTACCCCTCTCTCCTACTTCTACCCCCCTCACTCCCACTCCAACTCTACCTTCTTCACTCCCATCTCTACACCCTTCACACCCGCCTTTACCCTCCCCACTCCTTCGCACAGTGTTGAGAGGTGGCATGGGTGTCGTCTGTTATGGTGGAGGTGGTTTCTGAGTTTACTTTAAATCACCCCACCTCTACCCCCCACTCCCACCACCATACCTTCTCCTCCACCCTCCACGTCCCCCATTCCCCGCACAGTGCAGAGAGGCCGTGTGGATGCCGTCTGCTCTGTTGGAGGCCACTCTTGCTGACTCACACTGCCCCAACTGCCGCCCAGGTAGTGCTGCCAAAAACTGCCGCCCAGGTAGTGCTGCCAAAAACTGCCGCCCAGGTAGTGCTGCCAAAAACTGCCGCCCAGGTAGTGCTGCCAAAAACTGCCGCCCAGGTAGTGCTGCCAAAAACTGCCGCCCAGGTAGTGCTGCCAAAAACTGCCGCCCAGGTAGTGCTGCCAAAAACTGCTGCCCAGGTAGTGCTGCCAAAAACTGCCGCCAGGTAGTGCTGCCAAAAACTGCCACTCCATTGCAGCTCAAAAAGGCCTTTCCATCATCCTCGTCCCTCACTCCTCCATCGCTCCTCACCTCTCCCTCTCGAGGTCCCCTCTAATGCCTTTTATCTGTGCTTCCACTGGCTTTCCGTACAAGCACTTCTCTGCTCACTCTGCCTTACACAGGCGTTCCTGACTAACTTTCTTCAAGCAAAATCTGTGCGCATTCCCGCAGGCCCCCTCTCGTGCCTCAACCTGCGTTTCCGTCGCTCTGAGATCCCGCCCCAGTTTGACCCCGTGCAGCAAGCAGGTGAGGCAGGTGGTTTGACGGAGGTGCTGTGAGGGGGGTGCTGTGAAGGAGGTGGTGTGAGGAGGTGGTGTGGGGGAGGTTCACATCTCTGCAGGTGAACAATTGATTTCTCATATTCTGGATCTTCGGGGCAAGTCTAACCTCATGCAAACATGATCACCCAGAATTTCCAACTCATGGATTGGAGATCCCAGCCAAATTCATTGGGACTGCCTTCCAATGCTATCCAACCTCCTCGTGCTGTGCTTTAAAGCCCCTCGACCGTAGTGATCAACTTAATTCTTCGCGTATGAACGTGTTCATTGCTCTTACCCCCCTCTGTATCACCCCACCCGCCATCCCCTTTACAGTGTGCATCATTTGCAACCAAGACTTCAAGGACCTTCTAGAAGCTTGCGGTTCATCCCGCCCCTCCGTCGCCTCTCAACCGCGCCCTCCCCCTCCCCCATCATCCCATGCACCACCATTCGCCAGTGCTCGTCCCTCCTCTGCTCCCCCATCATCACATGCACCGCCATTCGCAAGTACTCGTTCCTCCTCCGCTCCTCCCTTCCGAAACCCCCCCACCACCTCTGCATCAGCACCACCACCACGGGCAGCCCGTGGCTCGGGCCGAGCCTCGGGTGCAGGCTTGGGGAGAGGGACTCAGGGCCGAGGTTCGGCAGCAGGTGGAACCACCAGGTCCGGCCGAACCAACGCCCAGGGTCAGCAGCGGGGTGGAAGGGGGAGGCTGGGAAGTGTGGGGGCACAGAGGGGAGGGGGCGGCAGAGCAAGGGGGGGTGGGGGCGGGAGAAGCAGCAGCAGAGCGGGGCAAGGGGGAGGGAGGCGTGTGGTTGGGGCGACTGGTGAGAACATGGGTTTTGTTCGGTCTAGTGAGGTGACTCATGGTGCTGGTGTTGCTGGTGGAGATGGTGGTGGGGTTGGGGGAGCTGGAAATGCTGGGTGTTTTACCTGTGGTGATCCATTTCACTTGTCGCATGAGTGTCCCCTCGACCAATAAGATGCTCTGTGAAGTACTTGCATCGATTTCAAGTGTAAATAATGCCATATATGATTCTCTGGCTGGCTCCATTGCAAGCCGTGTTGCATTTTATTAGCTGTAATTCGCAACAGTGGGGAAAGGAACCTCGGCAAAGGAATCCGCAAAGGAATCCGCAAGGAACCTCGGCAAAGGAACCCAGACCACTGACGCCAGTGGTCCTTTGCTGTAATTCGCAGCAGTGGACTCAAACGAAGGGTCAATGGCAACAGTGGCTAGGAGACGCGTGACAGTAGGGCTGGCAGCACGACCCTGGTCAGACTCAGGGTCCGGAACGTGCGGAAGAGAGGACTCAGGAGGAGACGGAAGACGGACACGTTGTGGAACAGAGGAAGGACGAAGTGTCATAGTGTGAGTGCCAGGGACAGGAGGAGGACGCGGACGAGGAACACGGCTACAAGTGCGACGAGCGCGAACAGGCGAGGTAGGATGAGACGCAGGCTCACGGCGGTCTGTAAGCGAGTCTGTCTTCTCAGTGTAAGGAAAAGGAGCAGGCAGTGGGGAGCCTGGCTGTAACGGGAGGCCAGTAGAAGACGGAAGGCTAAGAACCTGGCGAAGCACGGAGTCGGGTGTTGGCAGAGACGACGGTGACGGCGGAGCGAAGAACAGTCGCAGTTGTGTAGTACCACCAGCACCAGCACCTCCAACACGAGGGTCAGCAGCTCCAGCGCCTCC